CACAAGAAACTACAGAGGCTCATACATGTAGAGAATATGGATGTGCAATCCAGGCTATTTGCGCTGTTGCTGAAGAATCATCTGATGAAGGATTTGGATCTAAAGTTTTGTGATCCACGCTATTTGCGCTGTTGCTGAAGAATCATCTGATGAAGGATTTGGATCTAAAATTTTGTGTCTATTATGTTCAAAAAAATATAAAGTACAAGATAATCGTCAAAGTGCTAAAAAAAACCTACAACAACAGGCTGAAAAAATGCTGAAATCGAGTGAAAAGAAGTTTGCTCCTGTACCTATTGGCACTTCTGTACGAATTGCAGTTCCAGAGGTTGACAGAGAACGTGGTGATGCCCGAAATATTATAGGTGTAGTTTTGGCTAAAACCGATGATGAGCTTTATCAAATTGGTACCAAGAACGGAATCTTAAAACAAGTATGTTCTCGATCTCAGATTAATGTGTGTCCAAGAGCTCTTCTTGATGCAGAGGATGTACCGAGTACGGAGATAGCACTACGGTCAGTTGCTATCCTACAATCCACTGGAACCGGCCAGGGATTTAAAAAGTGCCATTGCAAAAAAAAACTGTATTACAGCAAGATGTCTGTGCTATAAAAATAAATTATTGTGTACTTCCAAGTGCCATTCCGGCTTGCCCTGCAAAAATAAATAGCCATATGGACTGACTCGTTATATAATATAAAGACTTACTTTAATATTGTGACATTTATAATTACTTAAATAACAGACTAATTACTTACCCAACGAAAGTTTGACTTTATGAGAATAATATAAGTCGATTTTGTGATAAATACATTTTAAAAGTGCCTAGATACTTGATTTTCGAAGCTTTAATTAGTAAGATAATATGAAGATTATTATATTATACGAAATGACTGTTACCTGAACGCTGTTGTCTCAACGAGTGCTTTAATAAAAATTATTATTCTCATTTTAACAACGTGTTTTATTACAGAAATCATTATTTTTATACATTTCCTCATACGATATTGGAATTATATACATTTCCTAGGACATTTATGTATTAAATAGTTTTTGATACAATATTTTATACATTTCCTAAATAGCTTCGGTATTATATAAATTTCCTAGGATTTGTATACAATTCCTAGATTTCATACATTTCCGGTAACATATCTATTATAGACGCAATAACTTTAATGGAAATCCCCTACAGATCCGCAGTTTTCTTAACATCAATAGTATTTTTAATATCTTACAATATCTTTTGATGATACTTTATGAAATGTAAAATTCTTTGTACACGCATTTACATTTTGTTTAAGTAATGATTCGGCGGCGGCAGGAGAAGAATTCAGTGACTTAGTGGTTAATATCGGAATAGCAGTAAAATATTTCTCAAAAACCATTGCAACGTCCTGATCTGATTCGGTTAATTTGTTATTAACACTTAACTGGTAGTTTGAATTGCGAGAGTTGATCTCACCAGTTTCGCTATTAATTATACTCCGTGTCATTTTAATTTTATTAGAAGCCGTCTTAATATTGTTGCTCAAATGCAAAGACTTGGCTTACTAATATACACCTTATTCCACTAAAACCGCTTTTTTAATGAAAAAATAGCAATAGATCGATTTAAAAAATAATAATAAGTTCAACAATCATTTATCTTTTTGACAATGTGCTTTTTATATCATTTATATGTTCAATATGATTCTTAGATACGATTTCATGTAACCAAACGTTGGAATCTTGATTTTTAAGCGCTAGTAGAACATACCTACGTGTTCCCGTATATATTACTCTTCTCTATGCGTGCAATATGGTGTCCCAATTCGCATTTCGCAAGCCATGATACTTGGCCTTAACACTGCCCATTGGGATTTATTACTTTTATAATAGCGCCATCTAGTAACAAAACGTCTTAATATTAGTACGTACCGCTTTCCAAGTTATTTAAATTGTCATCTATTATCTGAAAAGTAAAGTATATTATTAAATACGAAATATTCTACTAAGAAAATATTATATACTAGCTGGTCCCCGGCGCGATGCTGCCACAGAAGAAATAATTGTGGAATTATGGCTTTAAATTTGGAAGAGTGTTTAATTAGGAATATATAATTTACAAATAAATTTGTCAGTACGATACATACGCCACCTATTGTATGTTAATTGTACTATGTCTGTAACCTTTGAGCAAGTGCAAGCAATAAGTTCACAAAATTTTATCGCAATCTTATTAACGGTATCACAGAGTACTTTTTATAAACGGTATGGCAGCGCATAAAACACCAACAAATAAATATTAATTTTTATATATTAGATGTACTTATGTATCATGAATTTTAAATACATAAGTACTCAATCAATGCAATGATTAAATTTTATTATTGTTTTTGTTAATATTGCTAATAAGTTAATTAATTGTATAATATCTTCCTTATAAAAATGCTTACATTTTAACATAAATAAATGAAATTTCTTCACAACATAAGTTAATGTACGTGAGTCTCAGAGAATGTTGTTTGCGCCTATAATTGAAGTAGCACTTTATATGTTTTTTTGTACTTCTGATATTTGTGTATGTAACAGTGTGTACTTTGTTGGTGCAATAAATAAATAAATAAAATGTTTTTTTTAATTTTGTAAAGAAAAACTATACAATTGATGTATTATACTTTTTAAGTTTTATTTATGCAGAGCAAATCTTTTGCTCATCAGATATCGCTAGTTGGGACCAAAGAGTATGGTATATATATATATATATATATTATACGGGACCAAAGTTCGCTTTCAGAAGCTCCGCTGTAATTCCATCGTCGCACGGGGACTTGCCGTTTTGCAGGTGCTGAAAAGCCATTCTAATCTCATTGAAAAGGTGCATTTTAAATAAAAGTTTTTTGTGTTTTAGTTTAATAGTTATTTGGATATACAAATTAATGCCTCAGTGCTCTTTATTTTTTACACATTTTTAATCTTTTTAATTCCTTCTACTTTGAGGAATATCTGTATATGATTTATCTATTTCTAATCGAATTAATGCAAAATATTCCTTATCAATCAGAAAAACAGTCAAGACACATTTCTATCAATTTAACTTCCTCATCATTAAATCTGTCATAATTCACCACATTTCAAAGTGGTGTTGCCCTGGTTGAAAAAGTTGTGGACGCCCTCTTTCTCTAGATAGAGTCTCTCAACTCGATTCAATAATCGCTTCTACTTATTGTTAACACACAGAGACCTCATCAAGAACAGTAAGATCTGATTATATGAGTCTTCCTCGCTGAATAAAATAAAAAGAAAGAAAGTATATTAATTCAACGTAAATTCTAATTTACTGTATACCTATTTGTATTAGAGATTATCCTTACATTTTTATGACTAACTACATATTTTATAAATAAATTAAAGCAAATATTCTCGACTATTGAGATCACACTAGGGAGAAGCACTTAAGCGTTAACAGCACTGTATAAAAAAACATGTGTGAAGTTTACACGCAATAGAAGTGAAACCTTCAGAAAACTAAACTTCGAGAGTATGAGACGAATACAGCGTATCAGGTGTAGGATAATTGTAAGGTTTGTTTATTATAATATTATTACCAAGTTTAAAAAATATTTTACATTTTATCCTAAATATATTACATTACACATTATATAAAAACCGATATACAAGGAAACACCATATAGTGTATTCTGTCAATTCTCACGCAGGCTAAATCCTTTATTTTAGTATTGTTTTTTTTTTTGTTTCATCGAGTTTCCAATCACAACGATTCTAAAAAAGTTTTCACTTCAAAAACATAATAATTAGACAAATTATGTAGGTATTACGATACGATAGATTTTATCCTAGTATTTATGCAGATATTATATATTAGATATTTATACGACCTGGTAAGACATGCAGGTACAACCTGGTATGTCGATGGATGCGGGTGGCTCAGAACCGTGCTTTGTGGCATTCCTTGGAGGAGACCTATGTTCAGCAGTGGACTTGTGAACGGCTGTAATGGTGATGACTGATGAATAATGATTAATGCAGATATTAGAATGATAAATCATTGAAAAACAAACTCAGATTCAAAAGTAAAGGGTAAGGCTGCTTGTGGACTACACGGTAAAATTACCATTCGTAATTTTTATTTCTACGGTCTGATATAGCACTATTTTTTATTCACAATCGTGTGTTCATCTGTACTATCAGAAATTTTTCTTTTCTAATTCCTTAAAATTAGAACGTCTATTAAACAATAAAATATTATGTATGTGCCCTATAGATTTAGTATATACTATATATATGATGTGCCCTAAGTCCCATGAGCGCTTGTGCATTACACTATGATTTTACGGTCCGAAACGTCATACCAGTGGCTCCGCAAAAAATGGTAACACTAACAAACTCGATCTGAAATGTCTAAATTGAATAACTTTCGATTACGAATACGAAATAGTCGGATAGCAATAAATGCGGCCTTTTGTCCTAAGTAATTCTATGTGTCATATCAACATATAAAGTAAACGTAGTGATTATATTTTCTTTGACATAAAGTTACATAAAGTTCAATATCTATAGTGAACATACTAGTATAATTCTAATTATATACTCTTTGATCCATAGACTACAATTCCACCTTGCCATACTAATCTAGTTACCGTAATTGTATGGAATTTTACCAATTACCCATACTTCTGCAGTAATTGCGAATATAGGATGCCACGTGCACTGACATAAGATAATTTTGAAAATATTACTAAATTTGACTCAATGTATAGTAATTAAAAAAGTGTGAATAACTTTTTGCATTTTGTTTTAGGTTTCAGTGCTGACATTGTTTTTAAACTTTTTAGCTTTATAAACAACATTTTTGATTTAGTGTGAAAAGCAATGCTATAAAAATTAAATATGCCGAAAGGAATGTCTGATCGTATTTTGTACGGTAAGTTTAAATCGGCTAATAAGGTAATTCCAACAGCTTAGGCTGGCAACGCCGTTGCTGTGTTTTTTATTCAGTGTCATTTAATTTGCTTTAGAAAACGGTCGTGTTTTAGTAATTCGTTAATTTATATCTGTTTTATTACATAAAAACGCTTGAATTATATGAAAGTGTGTGTTTTTTACTGCAGTGGGGTGGAATATGTGATATAGATTTCCTTAAATCTACAAAATTCGATCGATCGCCCACGGGTGTCCGATCTAGGGTGCCTTTTGAAATGAGGCTTTAATTTGTGTGAGTGATAATACTTTCGTTTTTACGCTTCGATGACATCTTGTTGAGAAGCTTACTCTCAATCGAAATAAACATACAACACATTTCGGATGACATCAATGGACTTTTAGTAGGTAAGTTATTGTCAAGTTATGCGAGACATGGCGTATTGGAATGCGCCGGTAGATGATGGCGGCTATTGTTTTTGAACCAACCAGTCGGCACCGAGGCATCAGGCTACGGGCTGTTTGTTTTCAATTCTTGTGGTAAATTGCAGCCCGTGAATACAGTTACTTCAAGCTCGGTAGCTCGGAATCATCGACATCAATAGTGACGGAATGCAAGTTGAACTCGGCAATAACTGCAGTGATTTGTACTACTACAAATTACCGCAATTATTGCTGACATCAATAAGCTTTTCTTATTAGAATTTGATTGTTCTTTTTTTCGTTAAAGCTTACTCTTGATATGCAAAGATGATGCTTGACTTAATAATACTTTTGCTTTTGTTTTAACATCCAGGTGTAAAATAAAACGCATATTATCTGCATTTGCCAATTATAGCACGTTTTTTATATAATTAGCTAATCATTAAGTTTGTTTTGACTATTCATGCATTTTGATGCATCAATTTTCAAGTCTCTTATGTTATTCTAAGTTTCTCCATTTAAAAATTTCTACATTTTTTTAGTTCATAAGTTTTTGTGTACAAATTCTTTCAATGAAAACCAATGAAAAGGATGCTTACAATGTGTATATTTTGTACAACATATTAAATATGTTATGTTGTAGTGGTATTAGTAAGTTCCTTGTATTGGAATAATTTATAATGTTAATATGACCAAATATGTCCAAGGTCTATCAATAAACATCTTTGCAGTTTGAGGGACACGTTAGTACCAGCTTTAGAAATTCAATATAATCCACACTCCTAACACTTTGACACTATGAAGTGTGGACAGACCTTTGAGCGAAAAATTTTTGAAAATTAAAATCGATGTATTTTTAAGATCATTTAATTATCTAGCAATGAATGTTTCCCTGAATTATTGAATAACTGTATAGATAAATAATCTCTGAGTAAGCTGATTAAGCAACTTGTTATCATTAAATAAATAATGCTTTATCAATTTCCGTTTATAGCATCAATGTCTAAATTATTTTGAATAGCAATCTTACTTTTAATTTTTATTAATTTTTAATAATTTGCTTATTTATGGTTAAATTGCTATAATTCAATTTTCTTGTGTTTGTTATATTAAGGCTTAATGAAGTTTTGTTTGCCATTGTTACTGTAGTTGCTTACTACGGACCTACCTCATCAAGATGATGGTGGAGACTATCCTTGAGTCCTCCCAGGACTTTGGTAAGTGTTGTATTTCTTTGTTGTTTGCTTCTTAGTAAAAATAATGCTGTGACTATTTTTTGTATAAATGTAAACTACATAATTTTCTGTTTATGGGATGTTGATTATTTATTTTTAGTTAGAAAATTTTATATATAATTTGAAAAGTGTAATATCAGTTACTGGCAATACTAATTTTCAAAGGAGTGGTTTCTATAATAATAATTTATTTATCTTTATTTATTTAACTTCATACATGACGTAACGACGACTTAATGCCTGAGGTATTCTCTATCAGTCAACCTTTATGATGCAAAAATAAAAATATGTAGTAGGTGTGTAAAATATTGAAAGATGGAAATATTAATTAAAGTAAATAAATATAAAACAAAATAATACAAAAACATACATTTAAAAAAAAATATTTATTCTATCTTAGTCCTCACGACTGACAACACATCTGCATTTTAATTCGCAAATGAAGATAGATGTAGATGTCTATGGGCCACATCAACCACTTACCATCAGGTGGACTGTGTGCTCGTTTGTCATCCTTATTCTATAAAAAAAATGGTACATTCCAGGAAAAAAATTGCCTGTCACTCAAAAAATCAAGCCAATTCATTGCCCCATTGCTGCTTGAAACAAAGATAAACCAACACACTTCTGCATTTATAAAATAGACATTCAACACTATATCAACTTCAGGTCTAGATAATAATTATTGAATGTATGTTTTTATAATAAATAAGTAATGTTTTAATAATGAAAAATATGTGATAAAACCCACAAAGTACTTTTATTCACTACATAGTTTTGTCTGCCCAATACTATTATTTATTCTGTGATTTTGTACTTAAACACTTGTTGTTGTGGATGCCCTCATTAATCACTATTACCCCCAAACAGACATTGACATTTCATAGAGAAAGGATTATACACAATAACCATGATTAGAAACCAGATTGTCCAACGCTTTACCTTTCCAAGTTTTTTTTGACACTTTCTAAAATCAACTCTAACACTTATGACAAACATGGTGATAGATTTTCTAACACCAAAATCTGATATTCAAGTATATACTTATTTGTTACTAGCTGTCCACCGCAACTTCGCCCATGTGGAATTTACTATGATTTCATGGGTTTTAATTTTTTTGTGCGAAACCCTCATTCTTTTTCTAAAATAAAAGTATCCTAAGTTACACCTTATAACATCAGTTTTCTGCCACTGAAAGTCCCGTCAAAATCGGTCCAGCCGTTATGGAGATTAGCCGGAACAAACAGACAGACAGACAAACATTTTAAAAATTGTTTTTTTGTTATTAGTACCATATATACTTTCATATTATGAATTTAGTAAAAAGCTGTTATTTTAACATTACAAACAGACACTTCAATTTTATTTATTTGTATAGATAATAATAGGCCGCCTCTCGTTTCTGTACAGAATTAAGAGCATGGAAGTGTCTATTGTAGTGCCTCATGTGTGTTTATGGACACATTTCCTCAAAATGTTTTCCTTCATAGCTATAAACATGTGATAAATCCACACTTAAATAACAATTAATCATTAGTGTCAGCGGTGATCGAACCCATTGAGTTCACATACCATGAAGTTTTCAGAGAGTGCTTTGCCCCTGAACCACTGCCTATATTATATTATTATATGGCATATTATCACCATATGTTATTTTATGGCTTAGTTCTTGGTTTAGTTATTTTATAGTATAGATTTTGAACTTGAATATAATTTGTTAATTATTAATGGTTTGGGCACGTTGAGCGAATGAGTGAAGACCGAATGGTGAAGAAAATATATAGCACGAAAGTTAATATTAAAAGGTATCGAGGTAGACCGAGACTAACTTTCGAAGACCATGTGAGCAAATTGCTCGAACTGGGTAGGGTCAAGAGTACTCGGATACCTAGACGTGCATGTATGAAGAAGATAATGAATCTGAAAGAAGCGAAAGAGGTATGTAAGGATCGTGACACTTGGTGATCTGTTCTCTCTGGCTACTCCGTCAGGGATTGTGCATGAAGATAAGTAAGTAAGTAAGTAAGAATATAATTTTCAGGGTTCTGTACCCGAAGGGTAACCAACTGTACTATTACAAATCTCTGCTGTCCGTCCGTTTGTCCGTCCATCTGTTCCTCTGTGTCAGCAGGCTGTATCTCATGATCCGTAATTGTAGATAGTTGAAATTTTCACAGAATGTGTATTTCTGTTGCCACTATAACAACAAATAATAAAAATAAAGTAAAAATTAAACCAGGTTCCCCTATTAGAAACGTGTGTGATGTCACAAAACCCTTCATGTATACAGCGTCTGATTCCCATTTGGCCGGTTTTTTTAAAAACATATTTGATAAATTAATTCAGCTGGGCTAATTTCTGCAACTATACAACTGCTGCATATTTACATGTATACATAAACCTATAACTATTCAGGCCACTCAAGCTCCTCATGGGATCCGAGTAATATTTTGTTACCAAAAACCTTGGGGACTGAGCACTGAAACCCAAGATAGCTCTGTTAGCTGACAACCTGATCTGTCAAGTAGTGTGAGCCACTGTTTCATATGCTTAATGCCGGCTCTAAACAAATAGCTATATATATATATATATATATATATATATGCCTATAGTAAACAGGTGTTAATTAAATGAACCATGTCCTGTTATGGCCCTGATTTCCATTCTGATTTGGAGTATATTAGGTCTGAGTAACCTTTTAAGGATGTAAATGTTAGGCATAGTGCCTTTTTAGCATAGCATTTTTATATACAAAGTAGTCAATGCAAAACTATGTATGATAATTTTTAAAAACGAATATACTATGTGGTAGGAGTCTTTTTCTGATTGTGGGTCCATCTGGATAGGTCCACCTAAGGCCTAGCTCTTACTAATTTCTGCCACCAAATAGCAGAATGCTCATTGATGTGTTCTGGTCGGACGGCTATAGAAATCCAGTTTATTTACAGCCTGTGAGGCTTTGCATCTTAGACCTAAGTGGTGACTTTGTAATTGTAGCCTTTTTTATTTGAAATTGGCTGCAGGTGTCCACGGGTTGCAGGAAACACTTACCAACAGGTGGACTGTGAGTTTGTTTGTAACTTCAAGTTTAAAAAAAAATCAATTCAAAGTGTAGGTCAAATGTGAAATACAGTTTACATAAACAACGCTAATTGTTCCACATTCATTAATATAATTAATTACATTGCAATCAACTATAAAGCGGCACGCTGTTATTTTCCTGGGCTTACTGGAATAATTGATAATACGTGTGGGTGTTCCTTGTGTTGGGGTCAACTAGATAACAACACATTGTTTATTTGTAACTTGTTTTATGTGACGATTGCTGATTGGAACATATTGTATATTGTCCTGTTGCTGCCTATATATCTACTTTAAAATTAAAGTAACAACTGATTTTGCAGTACCTTTTCTTATAGAATAAGGGTGATGAACAAGCAAACAGTCTACCTGATGGTAAGTGGATACTATGGCCTATAGACATCTACATCTATTCTCGATTAAGAATCAAAATGCATATGCGTAGTTACCCCTGACGACTAAGATGGAATGCCTTGATTCCAGTAGAAAGGGTCTCCGGTTCTCTACACCCACCATACGTACGGCGTACCGCGTACGGCGAGTGTAGAGAACACTCGCCGTACGAAACATAGCAGCATTAAGCGGCTATTTTACGCTGGTATTCCGTGAGAGCGTAGTGTTACCCCAGTCGAGCTGATCCATTCGTGCTACAACCATATATGCAGTGTGATTGTATCACGTCATCAAGTATCATTCGATACATTTAAATAAAAATTCTGAGGTGTTCGCTGAGGTTGTAAAATGGACTAGGGTCCACGATAGTTTTCATTTGACCGTAATTGGTATGTTGTGTGCAGGCATGTCGAACGGGTCCCTGCCGCAGTGGAAACGCGAGCTGCTGCAGCGGCGCGCGGCGCGGTCGCGACCGCCGGTGCCGCCCCCCGCGCCGCCACCGCCCCCTCCTCCCCCCGAGCCCGCCGACGACGAGGAGCTCCGCTACGGGCCCGGGATCGTCAAGCGCCTCAAGTCCCGCTATCTCAGCTTAGCGCTACGAGATGCGCCTCGTAGACGCCCGTCGGTTCTACGCCGCGCCACCTCCCTCGAGCACTTGCTGGACGAACCGCCGGCTCCGCGAACGCACTCACGCACCGCCCGCCCCGTCTCCCTCGCCGTGCCGCCCACCCCCGCCCGCCGCGATTCAGTCAAACGCGCGCGCTCCGTCGACGCCCTCAGCCGTTTGGACGAACCGGAAGCGGCTCCTCGCGTTCGCCCGCCGCGTAGACCCGCGCCCTTGCTACGGGACACGGAGCGCCCGCCCCCGGATGTGGTGCGATCCGCGCTTCGCAAGTTCGAGTCCGCGCCGCCGCGACGGACAGCCCCGGCGGCGCGGGTTTCGGCCGTGCTCCGCGGTTTGGAGTCCGGACCGCGCTGCTCCACGCCGGAACCGCGCGGTCGCTCGCCAAGTCCCGCGACCGCGGACCTTTCCGCCATAGACGACTCTGATGGAGCTACATTATCCGCGAAGCCAGTGTCCCGTGCCGCCCTAGAAGGCATCGCCCGCGCCGGTTCCTCGTTCACATACTCGTTCGAGGCGCCGAGGAATGGATCGCACTTACCTACGGTCGCCGCTACGAATTCGGTGCTACTCAGCCGCGCTCGTCTCTGGACTTCTCCACGTCGTGTCGGCGTCATCCGGCCGATGCCGGCTCCGCAGCTAGAACGCGCCGTTTCAAGTCCAGCACCGCCGCCCGAAGAATTTACCGATAAGACTAACGAGGAGCCCCGGGTAGTGACACCGCCGCCAGAACCGGAGCCGCGATTGGAGAAACGCGAGCCGCCATCGGCCGTAGTCGAGCCAATTCCGCGATCTCCCCCCACAGAAAGTGCCCCGACTGAAATTCGGCCGCCCTCTCCGCATCCGATCCCTTCCCCTCGCGAACGAACCCCGGACCCTGTGGAAGTGAAAGCGGAACCGCGAGTGATGGAAACGATCCCCAAACAGGCGCTGGTGAACGGTCACGCGGAACCGCAACGCGCTCCCGAAGTTAAAGTGCGGACGCCGTCCCGTATCGGATCCGCGGGGATAGAGCGAGCGTGGACCGGAGCGAAAGCCAAGAAGAGCGTGGTGATAGAAGAGAAGAAGGAAGCGGAAGTGAAGATGGCGACGTGGGCCCGCAAACCGCGGCCGCCTGTACCTTCGTCCACCTCGGTGGTGTTCAACTTCTCGAACCGGAAGGAAGTGCCCGACTACATCGAGAACGACGGCATCATACTGCGGTCCAGCCGGCGGAACCGGATCAAGGTGAGTTTCACACTCCATTTCCCCGATACGCTAGGTCGACCATACATTACATGTAATGTCAGTACTTGACCTGTTATGTTAACGAATGAAATCACTAGAGACTATTTTCTAATATGTATTAATCACTTACGATCTTACGAATGATATCTATCGAAGTACATCATAAGTAGTTCAACCAAATGTGAAATCTCCATTGATTATTCATTTATTTAATAAGTTTCCTTATCCCCTGTGGTTTTGACATTGAAATTTCTAAAGATGTGTTCCGTAACACGTGTAACTGAGGAAATGGTGACATTACACCATCACTGTCGTTTTCATAACGTCAGAGATAGGGTTGTCACTTGTACGTTTACGACTAGACTTGTGCCTCCGCCGTTGTACCAGACATTTCGCGACATCGACGCTGTTCTCTCAATATAAACTAAATATTTTACGTCTAACATAGCGTATCGCCTAGGAAATCATCTTTCTGGCAGTTCCTGTAGTCGTCTTACATACGGATTTTGAACATGGTTTTATTTTATTATTTTTTATATTTTATAATTATGTATATTGTTTTAACACAATAGTAAGAAATACAATACATTCAGTTAACTGGTAGGTGGGGGACTTCCAGTCTAAAGCGTAGATGACTCTGACAGTCAATTCATACATAATGGTACTAAATAACGGTGGCAATTCAAGCACGTAAAGCCAATCAGTACATTGGACTTAGAGTGCTGCAAGCGGTGAAAGTGCATAGGTAGTAGGTGAAACTGGCCGTTATGGGACGCCTTCACTCTCGGTTTCGGCAGATGCCACGAAAGCGACTCCGGAATGCCGTTGAAATGAGGCGGTATATCTGATTGTTTTGTCTATGGCATGCCGTATGAATTGGCAATGCTTGGCATGCCCGAATATGACATCAATCGAAAACGCATGTGCTGCTTATGAAATTTTATATGAACTATATTCGAGGTGCACTGTACGCTTCATTTAATCATTTGTTAACGTATTTGAAAACATAAATATATGTATTCCTTTTTATTTACAAAAGTTTTAAATTCACTTGAATGTTAACCACTTGATAAAGCCACAATGCTGCCATTATGGTTGTAGCACGAATGGGTCGGCTCTTCCTCGAATGCAGCGTCGAATTGAATTTTTTGGTGCTCTAGGTTTTTATAGCAAATGGTGTCTTAGTTTAATTTTCAAAAAAGAAATCGTATTTTTTTTTTCATTTTGAATGTTGTTTCACAATAAATCAAATCTAAATGCATTTAGTGTATTTGCATAACGAGAGATTCATTTCTGTTTTAATTAACTTATTTTTTTTTCAATATTAAAACATAGTAGTGTGCTCATCATGTGTTATAAATCCATCACTGCTCGAGTGTTCTTAATTGTATTATCACAAAGCCTCCTTTATTTTAACAGTGTAATCTAGGTCATAATAGAGAGCCAGTATAATTAGCTGACAACGCATCTGTAGCCTTTTTTGTATGAACTTGGCTGCAGATGTCCACGGACTGTAGTAGTCACTTACTTTCAGATATACTCTGAGTTCGTGTGTCTCCTCAGTTTTATAAAAAGTGTTAATGATAAACCGCACTATGCGTTACGGCGGCAGCACGTTGATAAGACAACACATTAAAACTAAATGTATAACACTTACAATAAATATTTTGAATTTGTTTTTGAGGCCGCAGTAATTGCGTCACGGTCCTCGCGCATCGCATCGCAACTGAGGTAGACAACGAATAGAAATGGGCGGTAGACAATAATGTGCTAGATGTGACATTAAGGGTGGATTCGACCATCTTCTTCTTCTTTCTTAATAACTGGCTTTACGGCTCTGGGATCTAGCCCTTCTGAGCCTGAAGTTACAATATATTATAATAATTATCCTTCATAGTATACTGCTTCACGATATGTTGATGCGTCACATTGTGCAGCCCTTGGGAGATTTTGACGGCAACTTGAGCCAGCAGACAGCTGACGGTTGGCGATGGTATCTCAATGCGCCTAAGCAGACAGACACCTTATTTTGAGAATCACATCACCATTAGAGCACTTGTTTCACAGTTTCCACTAATAGTTCACATGCGCAGACACTTAATATACAAAATCGCACCACTTTTACATATCAAAGTCCACATCAAACCATTATTTAAACAATAATACAGGAGCAGCAAACCGCCGCCGGTCAAGTTCCCGCCAAAATATCTGGATTCGACCAAATACCATGTTACTCCAGAGTAACTAATCCTCGAATAATTTTACTCTTTGCTCTTCTTCTCAGATAACTTCCTTTGCGTTTTTCCAATACAAACGTAGAGTAGCTAATACTGGGTATTGTTACTCTAGAGTTGGTGAATGAAAAATGAATGAACATGTAAACCAACTAAAATCGAAATACAATTGTTTACGTAGCGCAATGCAAGATTTTCGGTCCACTTAGTTTTGCCGGATTATAATAGTATCAACTGTCACTGAACACTAGAATATTAACACCAGTTGACAGTTGAGTTAGTTGATTATTCTTCTAATCTTATTCTTATCTTCTGAAATAAAATGTCTGCAGAAAAAAAAACGTAGCCCAAATTGGTTACCTTCGAAAAAGAATGTGTTGTTAGAACTAGTAGAAAAACATTTTCGTGTCATTGAAAGTAAAAATAAAAACAGACGGGGTTACGATGAAGCAAAAATTGGCAGAATCTTCGATACATATTTCGTAAACGTTGCATTATTTAAAAAAAAATAATCCCTACAAATATCACAAAAATACAAACTACTTTTTCAACAAAGGACACGAAAACAGCTGTTAAAATGTAGCGGCCGCCATTAAAATACTATGGGATAACTTGTTTACTCCATGAATTTTGAGGGTATCGCAATTTACTCTGGGATAGACAGTTATACCTGGGTTAAGATTTGGTGAAAAGAAAGTTCTCTAACTCGAGAGTAATCAGTGGTTTTATTCTCAGGATAAGACTTATACTTAGTTGGTCGAATCCGCCCTAAAAAGATTAGTGCCGGGTTCCTATATTTAAAAAAAAAATTGCTTTTACAAGCCGTTTCCCAGTAAACGAAGTGCGCAGCAAATTAAGTGCATGAAAACTTCTTTTTTAAAACAAAATGCCAGTTCAACTATACAAATACGAACCGTTTAAAGTTTTTTTTTTATTTTAAGTCTTTCAAGTTTTGGAACAAATAGTTTGTAAGGTAAACTCTTTTTTTCTTTTTTTTTTTCAAAAACTCTTAAAGTTCAATTTTTTACCGTCTTGAGTGGACTAAGCAAAAGTCACACGCTCAAATGTCGTCTAAAAAGTTATATATAAAAATATCATCCCCATTTGTCCCACCTCAGGTGTGAAATAATTTCTTCAAATTTATGTGTGACCACTCCTAAAGTATAATCCTATTGAAAAAAGAAAAGTATACAGAATACTGTCAAATTGAGAACTTCTTCCATTTTTTAAAGTTTGCTAAAAACGCATTGGTACCGCATAACAGGCACAGCTAATAGCTTGTAGAATTGCTACGAAAATCTCTGATTAATCTTAATAATCCACTTCTAAGTTCTAAGTAGATGAAACGTGTGAACTATACAGAAGAATTTCTATAACACCGTCATTAATTAATCAACAAAATTTTCCCTATCATGTAATCAGAAGAAAACTGTGGCTCGTTCCAAATAAAATATGCAAAACGAGCGGAAGCTGTAATCATTTCATGCGTTGACATCAAAAGATGTCACTGGACCGATCGTACGAAGGCGGCGAGATTTGAGAAGAATTGCCGTAACCGCGCGCCACAAGGACCGGTTAACTCGTCTTTTGTTCAAACAATTGTTGTTGAATTTGTTTCACGCTTTTGTCAATAGTAAGAGTCTATATATCTATATTTATTTTGACTTATTGTAATACTTTATTGTTTTTATGTAATAAATACCATGTTTGTTTTTATGTGCCCCGGATGCTTTGCAATGGGTTCTTAAAAACATTTGCGTGCGCGCGCACACCAACTCCCCAAAGTTTTGCCGTGATCGGATAAATTGTATAAGATACGGGCTAAAGAAAAACCATTCATTCCGGTCCAAGGTGTTCTTAGAGATTAAGGCCGAAGAACTTTATGATATATATATATATATATATCAAAATATATTATTCATATGGTAAGAACTAAGAACGAAAATTATGATGACAAATAATTTTGACGGCTCCGTGGCGCAGTGGCTTAGCAATGAGTTGCTGCGCTAAGGGGCGCGGATTCGAATCCCGCACGGAACAAGTATTTGTTCCGGGTCTGGATGTTTGTCCTCGTGAAGTTTGTGTTTGTAAACTGCCTCCACGATGCAGGAGAAAATCCTAGTGTGGGGATAACGTTTTTTTAAAAAAGAAAAAACGAAAACGAATAATTACATTAATACATTTAGATTATTGCTTCGTTGGATTTTTTTAAATATCACAGATTTTTTTTATATATAGAATAAGTGTGACAAACGAACACAGTCCACCTGATGGTAATAGAATGCTGTGGCCCACAGACATCTACATTTATCGTAGATTAGAAATTAAAATGCAGATGCATTGTCACCTCTAATGTTTGCCCTGAGGTATGCCCTGTTTCCAGTAAAAAGGCTCTCTGGTTTTCTACACTCACCATAGGCACATAATAAATAATAGTACTACGTACAGAAGTTGCACTCCTTTGATGTTGACTGCTTGCCGACGTTTTAATTACCTACATAAATTACGCAATAAGAAATATTGAGGGTCACTTATCGGGATAAAAACTACCCTATCTCTCAAGTTGGACTAAATTGCACACAGTGTGCAAAATTTCTTTGAAATCAGGATTCCATCGCGGACAAACAATGTGACACGTAATTTTTATATATAAAGATAAAGAAGATGTGTAATTATCTTGAAGCTTATTTCAATCAATGTGCTTTACTTTATATATTATGCGTGGTTTGAAATGAATTCTTGAACTCCTAGCTATTTCTAATAGTT